GTGTGTGCTGTCACTGCTCTGTTGGGGGCCCGTGGAAAACCTCTGGAGGGCTGGGAATTCCTAGGGTGGCTAGCAAACAGCTTTGATCCCTGCCAATCCCTCCTAAACCTTGAGCAGTGTCTTGTAAATCTTTAATTACAAGGAAATTGCAACCTCACCGGTGAACACACATATTGCTGCTGAATATTTCACACTGCCACAGCCACACGGCAGAGGGACCAGGGGAGAGATATATTGGAGTGACAGTTATTAAACTGCAGATCCCAGAAAATGGGCCTGAGCAGATAAATAATGCAGAGCTCTGACAGCAACTCCACTGTGAGGGGGGGAAAGGATGAGTTGGGGAAAAGGATAGGTTGGATGGGAAAAGATGGGACAGAGGGGAAAGGATGAGTTGGGGAAAAGGATGGGTTGGTGGGAAAGGATGGGTTGGGTCCCAAATCAGCCTGGAGCTGCTTGGGGTTGTGGTGTCCCAAGTGCAGGACCAGCACAGAGCCTCAGTGACCCTCCTGCAGTTGTGCTCAGCCCATGGATGAGTCTGTCCAGGTCTCTCTGTAGAGTTTCCTACCCTCAGGGAGATCCACACTCCCACAAAACTTGGTGTTCTCTGCAAATGTCCTGAGGGTCACTCACTCCCCACAGCCACATCAGCACTAAAGATTCCTCTCAGAGCAGCTCTGAGTGCCTGAGCCAGCTCAGGATCATCCTGTCCCTGAGCCAGCAGCAGCTCTGGGAGAAGCTGTTTTGCCCCCATCCTCCTCCTCCTCCCCCTCCAGCCTTGCAGGATGGAGCAGGAGCTGCTGAGGAGGTTCAGAGGTGATTTATGGTGAGCTCTGCTCCACTCACTTGCAGAAGCTAAACAGGGAGGAGGTTTGGCCTTGCAGAAGTGCTGATGCCCACCTAGTAAATCTTTAATTGGCAGAGGAAGGGAGCTGGGAGGTTCCCAGGACAGACAGCACCATCAATATTTAATTGGGGCACAGTGATTGCACAAACAAGGTGAAGGCAAAGGGAGGAGGAGACACATAAAAGTGGCACCTATAGAACATTAAAGGCAGACAGGCAGCAAGGAGATAAATAAAACATCCTGTAAAGGCAGCAACCCACACACGGCCGGTGGGTGCCACCTAGTGAGCTCTGCCTGCTCCAGGGCTGCTCTGTCCTGCTCCAAACAGCACTGAACCAGCTGGAAACGGGGTGAAAAACCTCCACAGGGCAGGGATGGGGTGGCTGTTCCTGGGAATGTGGATGTCTGTGGGGATGGGGGTGAAACAGGCTGAAGAACAGCCCAGCAAGGGGATTTTCCAGGCTGGCTCAGCAGCCTTTTCCCAGCTGGATTTTGCCAACACAAACCTTTCCCTGCCTGGGAAGGACACCCAGGAGGATGCCAAGCTGCTCCCCTAGGAACTGGCCTTCACTGAAGGGAAGCACAATTTGAAGCACAAATGAGAAGTGAAGCTCTGTCACAGAATGAGCTCAGTTTAATTCAACTCACTTCGTGTAGGACAACATCAAATTGGGTCAATTTGGAGGCACAAACCTTGTCTGAATAGTGCAAACACACAGGGGATATTCAGCAAGAAATTCTGCTCCTCACTGCACAGACTGCTGGGTGTGAGGGGGATGTGGAGGTTCCCTCACCACGAACAATCCCCCTGGGAACAACCACCTGTGCAGGGAAGGACCATCCAGGAGGGCATCACTCCTCCCAGCAGAGCCTCTTGTCCTTTGCCACAGGTACCATGAGTTCCTGCTGCCTTCAGCTCTCCCCTGGCTGCTCCTCACACGTGGCTGTATCTCCCAGGAGCTGAAGACTCTGAGGATCACTTCAGGCTTCAGTTCTGCAGTTCCTGCAGCAGCTGCTCAGGTGTGAGGTGTCCCCAGAGCTGTCTGTGTTGCAGCAGGACCTCCATCCAGCAGGGTAAGGTGCAGAGAAGTGCTGAGTCCTGGCACTCAGCTGGTGGCAGCTCCTGCTCTGGCCATGAAGCCACAAGGCTGTTTTCAAAGGAGCAAGGAAAATCCCAGTCACTGAAGGATTCCCAAAGGTCATCTGTGCTTCCAGAGCTGTTTGTGGGGCTCATTCTTCTCTTGGAGGAACTGTAGCTCCCTTGCAGGGATCTCCTCACAGGGTGGGGAAGGATCCCCAGGACTCCAGGAATTCCTTACTCAGCTCATGGACACACAGAGAAAGATCCCACGCTCCTTTTTGCAGCATGGAATCTTCCACAACAGCTGCCAAAGGCTCCCAGGACCTCTTCTCTCCTATTGCACTTCCAGTCAAACCACTGGAGAGAGAGGAACTGCCACCAGAGGTGTGTTCAGAGACCCAAACTCACACCCAGCCCAGGCCAATGCTTGGCTGCTCCAAAGGATTTCTGAGTCAGCACTCCCCAGGAATTCCTGTGGACAAGGAGAGGGGAGCAACACCCCACCCTGCACTGCAAGGGGGATCAGAGCAGCTCCAGATCTCCACCCTGCACCTCCTGCAAGTTCTTGGGACATTGCTACTTATTTAGACCCAAGTTCAAGCAACAAACATCGTTTTCCTGCAGTAATTCCCTCCCTCCAATCCCCAACCACACCTGGGCAGTCCCAGCTCCACACACAGCTCTGCACTGCCATAGCTTATTCTGCTGGAGACACAAAATTGCATCCTCTTTGCCTTCTGTGCACTGAATATTGCAGTTAGAACGAGTCCAGGAGTTGCTAAATACACTTTGTAAACACTTGTGACACTGAGCAAGGAACCACAGAAATCATCAAACAGAGAATCTCCTGCAGGTTGAGCACAAACTGCCACATAATTTGTATTGCAGAGAGGAAGAGGCACCAGGATCTCAGCAGGATTGGGAAGGGACATCCAGGACTGGAGCTGCAAACTCTCCTGACATGTTTTGGTCAGCACAGATCTTCCACTCTTCAGTGTGGGCAGATCTGAGCAGCTCCAGCCCAAGTGCTTTTAGCAAAGCATTGGAGTTTTGAGAGGGAATTGTGGCAAAGGGAATTCACAGTATCCACAAGGATCACAACACATCCTGCTGAGCCCAAAGTCCCTCACAGGGAACTAACAACCTGCAAAGGGAAGAAATTACATGGAAAGGAGAAAAAACTACCTGAAAGGGAATAAACTGTCTGAAAAGGGGGGAAAAACTGGCTGAAAAGGAGAAAGAAGTACCTGCAAAGGGGAACAAACTAACTGAAATTGGGGGGAAACTGCCTGGAAAGGGAACAAACTACATGGAAGGGAACAAAGTACCTGAAAAGGGCCCAGCACTACCTGCCAGGACCTCCCAGTGGCAAAGCTGCTGATCCTAGCGTGGCTAAAGTGCATCACCAGCAACTGAGCAGCCCTTTGGCTGAGGGAACACAAAATCCCCTTCCCCATGGGGACTGCCCCCATGGATCCACACACAGTGCAGCTCTGTGCCAGCCCAGCCCAGCTGCACAATCCAGCTGGAAAACCCAGGCTAAACCCAACCCAAATTCCAGGCAGCAGAGGAAGAATCCCAATTCTATGGGAAACACAAAGTGGCTGTGAGTTTTGGCAGTGATTGGCAGTGATTTCATAGCACCTACTCTGACACTGTACAGAGGAACAACAACTTGGACATTGAGGTTTGCTGCAACCTCTTGCTAGGCAGGTTTTAGGAATTCCCACTGCATCCTGGGGCTGGAGCAGCACCTGGAAAACAAGGAGGAACAGCCTAGAGAAGTACCAAAGGTATGAGCACTGTGCTCTGGGGTTGTTTTCCACGTGCTGTTCCCAGTTAGAGAGGGAATTCCAGGGATGCAAACAGGATTTAGCTCACACTGTGCTGAGCTCTAATGCCTCAAGAGCTGAGAGGTGAAGGCTGTGTTGGTGCCTGATGCAGGTGCTGCAAAGGCCTGGAAAGCTGAGGGAATGGTGAGCAGAGTCCAGGATACGATGTCAGGAGAGAGTGAGATGTGTTTCAATTGCAAGTCCGAGCAGTTTGGGCTCTGAAGGATGAGGAAAATGCTGCAGACAGAGCTAAATCACAGGGGAAAAACAGGAGGAAATGAAAGCACTGACACCCAGCACAGCCCCAGGCTGAACTGGAAGCTTTAAAGGAAGGATTTTGCCCTCAAATCCTGCTTTTAAAGCCACATTGCACTCAGAACTGAGCATACTCCACCCAGACTGACCTGCTGGGAGGAGGCAGAGAGAAGGTGCTGCAAGGAACAGCCCAAACCATGCAGAGATCTATTGGAATGGGATCCAGCTGCAGAGCAGAGCCTGGGCTAACCCTGCACAGGCCTCAGAGCCAGGCAAGAGGGCACAGAATGAATTTAAAGCAACTTAAAAGAGCCAACAGGAAAGCAAAGTGTAGCACTAGAATCTTCTCCCATGACGTGAGACCTGAGAGAGATATGGGTGAAGAGTTTGGGAGGATTTGTTTCACATCTGGGAGCAACAGAACCTTCACCTTGGCTTACAAACCTGTCTTAAACTGACCAAAAAAAGATCAGAAATGAAGTTATTTCCTTCTCAGTGCCCTCAGGAGAACTGATCCTTGGAGAAATGGCTTATCTAGCACCTTGGCCTACCCTTCCCTCCCTCTTCCCACCCCTGAATATATAAATCTCTGCATTTATATCTCTCTTTTGCATCTCTCAGATCAGACTCCTCTGGAGGCATTGCACAGACTTCCTGGAGAACAACTCTCCAACAGCCAAAAAAAAAACTCTTCCCCAAACTTGCTGACCAGTTGCAGGACAGAGAATCCCAGTGACACACTGAGCTCAAACGTGAAGATCTGACCAATTTCCAGGCTGGGGCAGTGATGCCAACATGTCACTCCTTGTTCCCTGAGGCTGTAGGTCAAAGGGACATGAAGTGGATGTTGCAGAGGATTACTCAGTGCTCCTGGTCAGACTTGATTCTCAATTCTCTTTGGTTGTCACTGGCCAAGTTCTCAGGTCAGGGTTGGTTGAGCACAAGAAACCTGTTGGTTGTATTTTTTGGTGCACAAGTGGCTCAACTACCCCATAAAGACCCTGATCACCATCTCAATCTCCTTCCTGCACACTGGGCAAGGTGATCTCTTCTTCTTCAGCATCTTTGCACACCTGAAACAGGCCACGAGGTGAGCAGTCCTGCCATGGACAATGTTCCCATCCCGAGGTCTGTGCTGGCACAGGAAACAAGGATTCAGTAGCATTTTTATACTCTCTAGAGACTCCATTTCCTCCTCCTTTTTCTGCTCGGTGAGACTCAGTAGAGACTCTTTGCTCTCACACCCTCGGGCCAGATCCAGAGACTCGATGGAGCCGCAAGGATCCACCTGGGACTTGCTGCCCACCAGGAATTCTTTGGGTTGGCCGATTGGGGCAGAGATTGTCCTTCTGCAGTCTGGGACATCCAGGCCTGGGTCCTCCTGGGGCTGCAGGGCCTGGATGCTGGGCAGGGAGAGGGTGTGGGGCAGGCGTGGGCAGCCTGAGTACCAGCCCTGGCGCAGGGCCCAGCAGCGGCAGCAGTATCTTTTTCCTGGGGAGTTCAGCTTCCTGCACTTGCTGCACTGCCAACAGTCCTGGGGGGGTCAGAGGCACAGAAACAGCAGTAAATCAGGGTCTTGTGGTTGGACAATTTCTTTCTTCTAGGTAGGAAAAGCAGCAAAGGAGGTTTGTGGGAAGAAAGGGATTTTTTGCTGGGGTTTAGGAGTTTGGAAATCAACGTTTCTGGTTGGATTTTTAGACTGAGGAGGATTTCACTCCCTCTGTGTGTTCTACACCTACAAATCTCTCACCCAGTAACTCCTGTCCTTCCTCCCTCCCAATCTCTGGAAAACACAGTGTTCCCAAACTGGGCAGCTCACTGAATTTCAACCTCTCACTCCCAATCCAAGGTTAGAGCTGCTGGAATCAGTCAGGAATCCATTCCCAAGGTCACTCATCACTTAGCAGCTGTTGCACCTCCACAATTAACAGAGGTTTGTTTGATTACCCCTCACAGCAAGAGCAGGAGCTGCTTGAGCTCAGAGCCATGAAGTGCCAGGGACATCCTCAATTATTCCAGCACAGGCTGGAACTGATGCTAATCCCATTTTTCCAGTGTCAACAGCTGCCAAGAGTCCCATGAGATACTTCTGACTTCCAGCAAAGCCTCAGGGCTGGGAGAAGAGAAGGACAGCTGAAAGGACATGGATTTGACATCCCTCAGTGCCTGCCAGGAGGGAATTCAGCAGAGGAAAGTGGTGGTGAGGAGGGGTGAGAACCCAGGAATTATTCCTTGTTCTCTTTCCACCTTTTTCCATTTAAACAGGGGAAAAAGCTGTGGAGTGTCCTCAGAGAGGCTCTGACTTCACACCCTCCTGCCAAAGGCCACAGGAAAATGGACTGAGAAGTGGATTCTCTTCACATCCCAGAGAAGCACAAATCCAGGGACAGGCTCAGTCCTGCACACCCAATGGATCTCTGATTTTCACACAGAAATTCCCACTAATAGGGTGGTTTTGGGGGTTTTTTTGAGTATGAGGCACTTCAGTGATTACCAAGTGCTTGAGATCACTAGATCTCTACTGCGGACTATCCCAGATCTCTGCCAAGGATTATCCTCCACATTCCTTCCAGAGGACAACCCAGAATGAACCTCACTAAACACACTAAGATATCAATGCTAACTTCACACAGCATTGAACTGCTCACTCCTTTGGCCTTGAAATTCCTGACAGAATCAACTTCTCCTCCCACAGGCAGCAGCAGGAGCTCTCCCAGCTCCATGTGGGATGCAGGGAATTCTGCCCTGGGGGGTTACCTCAGAAGCAGCTTCTGTGTCTGTATCATCACTTAGGCACTGAGTGTCCTCCAAGTCATCCAAACACACATCCTCAGTCACCTGCAAAGAGTGGAGATGTTAGGGGAGGAGGTTCTCTGTGCTGTGCCTGCTCTGCACACCCAAAGAGAATGACTGGGTAATCACCATGGTAAGTCATTTCTCTAAGTGACTGAAGAGCCTTTTTTTTTTTGTGTGTTTATTGCAGTGCTGATCACCTGCTCAACTAGTTCAGTCCCATCTGACCATGGTCACTGCAGGCTGAGATTTCCCTTTCTGAGTCTTTTTGCCTTTGGACTTGATGCTCTTAAAGGTCTTTTCCACCCTTAATTCTATGACTCTGTGGCTTACTATCCTTGCAGATATTGGCCAAAAAAATCGACTGAAATCTAAATCCAGAGTTTTAATTCATTTGGAACTAATTTTGTGCCTTGAAAATAAACACACATTTAAGCCAAAAGCCAAGCAGGAAAGTGCTACCAATGTAAGGAATGGTGAGAACCTTTTCTAGACACATTTCAACCTCTGGATGGTCACAGATTTAACTCTTCCAAGGTCTCACAGCACCATGGGATCAACTACATGAGGCTGTGGCACATGCAGTGATGGAAGAGGTACCTTTGTGTCCCCTTCTTTCACCTCCTCACAGTCAGCCACCTCCACCTTGACACCAGCACTGCTCTGCTCCAAGGGACACTCGTTGAGGAACCACAGGTCATCAGTAGTATCTGACACAATGGCAGTGTCTATGTCCTGGGGGAAAAAGAAGCAGGGGAGAGCACTTAGAGCTCAGCTTAGCAGCAGGAGCACCAACACCACAACCTCCTCAGCCTCAGAAGCTTCTCCAGGAGCCCTGGGAGAAAGGGGCACTCACTGCCCTGACTCCCCTTCTTCCAGCTCTGTGCTCCTTCCCCTTCTAGCTGGTCACCACCCTACAAGATTGTACCCAAAGGGCAACTCCTGGAATCCAACCAGTGCTCTGGAGAGCACAGAGACCTCTCTAAGGGCCCAGCACAGCCTTCACAGAGAGTTGACTCAGAGCACTAAAGGTAACCAAGCACCTGCTGTGAAAAGATGGGACAGGCACACACAAGGGAGAGGCTGAAAACCCTGGAGAGGGAAGGGGAAAGAAAGAACAAGAGAATTTCATTGACTTGGAACTCAAGAGAGGAGAGGAAGAGGACACAGTGCACCTATTTAAAATGGCTACACACCTGGTTAGTCTGAATATCTGTTGATCCATTACTTCTGGACTTGTAATTGCTTCTGAGGTTGCCTAAAAACCACCATGGCAGACCAGCCACATCCCATTCCTCAAACACTAGGTCCAGCTTAGGCTTCTTGCTTTTAGAGAGGTTTTCTATTAAGTCTTTGTCTGTAAGAGCCAAGTAAAGTCTAAGTCATGCCACACCTACATTTAAGAGACCAGCAGAGACAAATTTGGCCCCGTCTGAGGTTAGAAACCTTCTTTGCTCCTTCTCACGCCAGAGCTGAGAGCTCTGGAGTGTACTGGGGTGTCTAATCTGTACTGGTGGCCAAACACTGAGGTCAGGAACATCCCAGTGCCTCTGTACTGGTCCATTGTTAATCTAGACTCAACACAGAAGCACAAACACTTCTTTCCAAGGCAGCACTGAGTAGATTTCTGATTTCTACAGTGACTTAGGATGCAGAAAGAACTGGTCTGAATTTAGTCTCCAGTGCTGGAGCTCCTGAATTCCCAATCCAGGCCCAGAGAGGAAGCAGGAAGACAACAATCCATCCTCCACCACCCCCTGCTTCAGCCTCCTTTTTAGTCTGGGATCCCAAACTCTGGATTTCAAGTTAACCTTGAATCTCTCTCCCTTCAGTTCCAGGACTTTCAAAGCCACAGCCAAGGCTGTTTCTGCCTCTGTTGTCCATGCAGCCAGGGAATATCCACCACTCCCATTTGCTCTGGACACCCCACACTTGCCAAGCTCTGGGTTTACAAATGATGTTCTTTGATGTGAGAATGAGAGAGTAGAAAACCAGGAAAATTGTTTCCCTAACAAGGGAAATCCTTAGGAATGCCCCAGCAGGAAATGCCCAGACATCACAGCAGAGGAGATGTCTGGCTCTGAAGGAGCTGCAGACAAAAAAACCACACTGTGAGCCAGTTCCCTGCCTGGATTTCAGGTAATGACTGCAGCCAGCACAGCTCTGTGTGCTTAGGATTGTCCCTTGGGAAGATAAATAGATACAAGGATAATTCCAGCATTTACCATACCCTTCAGCAAGGGCTGGAAGGTTTTTCATGGCAGTGCTCAGGGATAGATGTGCTCTGGGGGCTTCACCTGCCACTTGTTTGTTTAGGAGCCCAAACAGCTCAGCTAGAAAACAAATCCCTCATCAAACTCCTGTGGTGAATATTTGCATCTCTCCATCTTTTCAAGGATTCTATTCCAAACCAAGGGTTTATCAGTCTCCCAGTGTCCTGCTGAGGCAGAGCTCAGAGTGCCACACTGGAGAGGGAGCAGAAGGGTTTGTGCATGTTGTGTCAGTGCAGAAAAGCCACCACTCACCTTCACAAGTGTCACAGTTTGGCTCTGAGGTAGACAAAGCAGAGTCCTTGCTGTCCCCCTCCATGATCCCACTGGCAGGACCTTGCTCCTGGCTAAACTGCAGGGAGGAAAAAGCAGATATTAGTCCAGCAGAGTTTACAGGGACAAGGGGATGTAGCACTTCCATTCCCAGTCACCAGCTGCAGGACAGGACCAAGCAGGTATGAGGAGGAATAAAAGTTGCTGAACACAAACTACACACTAGTCACCCTTTAGGAGGCCTAAGGCATCTGCAATCAGCACAAACAAGGTACTTCCAACCTAGGAAAAATCTTCAGCTTGGCAAAAGTCCCAAAGTTGCCATTTTTTCATGCAGTAACCAAGTGTGACCTTTGTGATAATCTGCTCCCCACTGTGAAGAGACACCTCTGCCCTTGCCCCAAAACACACCTGGAAACCAGTTGGAAGGTGCCAAGATTTTTCCTAGGTTTCCAATTCTGTAAGCTCCTACAAACAATCCTAACTCCACACAGCACTTGGGTTTGGAAAGTTGAATTCTATGGCAATTCCTACTGAGAGAGGGGATGGGAGAGAGGTGGGGGAAAGCCATGGAAAGAGGGAGCAGGCTGGAGGAGCTGAGGCCTGGAAGTGCCACACCCCAGAGAACGCGCTCAGAGACTGGTGCTCTGTCAGGAGGAGAACAGAGAAGGGTCACTCTGTCCCTGCTCTGTGGACTCCAAGAACTTTTCTCAGGCAGGTGAGGCCCTGACAGCCAAGCAGCACAAAGTTCTGGCAGTCCACCATGCACAGGTACAGAGAAGGGGCAACTCTGTACAAGAAAAGAAAGCCCCAGGCAGTGGGTTTACCTGCAGCTGGTCCTGGCTGGGCATAGCGACGCTCTGCTCCTTTGGGAGAGTCTGTGCAGCATCTAGACGGCAGGTAAAACAGAAATAGACCTTCCCTGGGAACAGCCACTCACTCGGGGCTGCAGCAGGCAACCCACAGCCAGGCTTGGCAGACCTTGGAGACACCTCCCTGAGCACAGTCCTTCCTGCCTCGGCCTAGGGATGCTCTGGGACGCGCTGCGGGAGCTGCTGGTGGAACTCGCAGCAGGGAGAAACTGCTCCTCGTCCTGCAGGTTGTGCTGCCCACACAAGGTGCAGGGCCTGGCTGTGAGGGCTGCACAAAGGCAGCAATAAGGTGTGGGAATCCAGCTGAAGGTTGGAGTGGATCCATGTGGAAGAAGGGGAACACGGATCAGAGCTACGCTGGAGGGAAATCTGGAGCAGATCCATGGTGAAGGTGGCGAGTATGGCTCAGGAACATGATGAAGGTGGTAAACATGGATCAGAGCTATGGTGAAGGTGAACAGGGAACAAGTCCATGCTGAAGGAAAACATGGATCAGAGCTATGGTGAAGGTGAACATGGATCAGGTCCATGCTGAAAGGGGTAAACATGGATCAGGTCCATACTAAAGGTGAACACAGATCAGATCCATGGTGAAGAAGGGGAACATGGATCACATCCATGCTAAAGGTGGTGAAGATGGATCGGGTCCATGCTGAAGGTGGTGAACATGAATCAGATCCATGGTGAAGGGAGTAAATATGGATCAGATCCATAGTGAAGGTGGTAAACATGGGTCAGAGCTATGGTGAAGGTGAACATGGATCAGGTCCATGCTGAAAGTGGTAAACATGGATCAGGTCCATAGTGAAGGGGAACATGGATCACATCCATGCTAAAGGTGGTGAAGATGGATCGGGTCCATGCTGAAGGTGGTGAACATGAATCAGATCCATGGTGAAGATCCATGGAAGGGGAACATGGATCACATCCATGCTAAAGGTGGTGAAGATGGATCGGGTCCATGCTGAAGGTGGTGAACATGAATCAGATCCATGGTGAAGGGAGTAAATATGGATCAGATCCATAGTGAAGGTGGTAAACATGGGTCAGAGCTATGGTGAAGGTGAACATGGATCAGGTCCATGCTGAAAGTGGTAAACATGGATCAGGTCCATAGTGAAGGGGAACATGGATCACAGGTGGTGAAGATGGATCGGGTCCATGCTGAAGGTGGTGAACATGAATCAGATCCATGGTGAAGGGAGTAAATATGGATCAGATCCATAGTGAAGGTGGTAAACATGGGTCAGAGCTATGGTGAAGGTGAACATGGATCAGGTCCATGCTGAAAGTGGTAAACATGGATCAGGTCCATAGTGAAGGGGAACATGGATCACATCCATGCTAAAAGTGGTGAATATAAATCAGACCCATGCTGAAGGTGGCAAACATGGATCAGATCTATGATGAAGGTGGTAAACACGGATCAGATCCATGGTGAAGATGGTAAACATGGATCAGGTCCATGGTGAAGTTGGTAAACATGGATCAGGTCCATGATGAAGGGGAACATGGATCAGATCCATGCTGAAGAAGGGGAACACAGATCAGATCCATGCTCAAAGTGGTACACATGGATTAGGTCCATGGTTAAAGTGGTAAACATGGATCAGATCCATAGTGAAGATGGTAAACATGGATCAGGCCCATGCTGAAGGTGGTAAACATGGCTCAGGCCCATGCTGAAAAAGCTGAACAGCCAAAAGCAAGATATTAAATACCTGAGGATTTCACCTCTCCCAGCTCAGGCTGAGGTAGGAAAACCCTTTGTAAAGGGTGTGGGCTTGAAGAACAAAGGGCAAATTCCATGCACAGCAAGTTCTTCCCTGAGGAACTGTGGACACATCCCTACACAATTTAATTAAGTGGCCCCAAGAGTTAATTAAAAGGCCAAACTAAATGCAAGAACCAAATGAATAGAAATCTCTCTACATAAAGGAGCTGCACTTAGGAGGTCTGGCCTGTAAACAGTGACTGGCTAGACAGAAGATGCAAGGATAGAATTCCCTGGGGAATGCCAGGCAGGCAGGATGAGTCGG